ACCAGCCGCAGGGCAACGGCAGCCCCGCCAGGCACACCTCGGCACTGCAAAGCAGGGACTCCTCTTGCATGCCTCGGGGCTCCTGGTGTGTTGTCAGCATAGCTCCGGGCACCCTGCTCCGAGGCCATCTTATTTATGGCGCATCCTTCCTGTCTTCTCCCTGCTATTATTGCCTGAAATATCATAATTTAGATTCCGGCTGTGTTTGATTGCAAACTCTCCCAATCTACAAATTTCGGTGACAAGCACTAGAGCAGCTCATTTACATGCCAAAGTGATCAATCCGGAACTGCTCGTTACACAAGCGAATAAATAAATAACGGATACATTAAAGAATGGGAAACAATCAGCCAAATTAACCAATAGATGTCGAATAATGACAAGCCCTGACATCCGTAACAAAGAACAAGAGGAGGAGGGATGGGACAAGCTTTCCCAGCATTGCCCAGGGCTGCTCAGCACTCATCTATCTCCTCTCATCCCATGAGCCAACTGGGATGTGCATCAATGCCAGGAGACAGTGAGCAAGGGCTGGAGCACAAAATCCTGGCTTTTAAACCCCGTACCTGTCTTTGCTCCTCGCACCTGCTCTGTGTAAGCATCTGGCATAGGAATAACACATCCCCTGGGACAGCAATTAAAATATTTTAGACATTGCATGGCAAGTGGCCTTGCAGCCTGATTTTCAGCTGACATCTCAGGAAATCCTTCCAGGGCACCTGAACTATCCCAGCTTCTAGTTTCGTTGATCAAAGCATGGGAGACTTCAGAATTCATGCAAACACCGTTGCATCGCGCAGGAAGTTTATCTGGTGGTCTGCAGCACGGGTTGACCATTTTGGGACAGGCCAGCTCAAAAGCTGCAAAATCAGTTTGCGTGGTTATTCGGGCATCATTAAGCCACCAGTGACTGCCGAAGCACGGATGCTTTGAGCTGTCCTGACCTCCTAATGGGTGCTGGTGGCAGACTGGGATGCTGGTGACTGGCAGCAGAGGTATATGCAGTACCTGCCAGTACTGCTGATGTCCCACCGCCTGCCTTTATCGCTCTCTCCTGTACAGTGACAGGTAGGTGCTAGCTACCTGATTTATCCTCCTCTGGCAGCTCCTGCCTGTCACCGCTCAGCACCCCAGGGGATCCCCAGCAGGGAAGGCAGCGGAGGAGCATCTCTCCCTGTTGCCTGCTGCCAGGCAGCTCGTGTGTGCCTGCAGGCACTGGGGACGCAGGGAGGAGGCTTTGCAGGGGACATTTTTCTTCCGTGAAGGGCTGCAAGGCTGGGATGGCGCTGACCTATCTTGTCTGGCACCACCAGGTTGGAGGGCAGCAAGGAGGTGAAGGAGCTGCCCCATGGCCCAACCTGAAAGGAGGAGGGTTGCTCAGGGTAAAATCCAGCTGGAGCAAGGCTCGTCCTGGATCTGCAGCAGAGCCAGGAGGCCATGAGGGGTGCCCTAAATGATGTGGATGCTCACCAGAGCGGTCAGGTTCCCCCCAGACCCCGGACTGTCCTCTTTGGGGCTGATTTCAGTGCCACCTGGGGCTCTGCAGAGCACCTACATCCACTGGCTACTCCAGCGTACACCCACCTTCCCCTCTGCCTTGGGCTTGGCCCTATTTCATGTCATCTGGGGGACCCTGCCGTCATCCTTGCCCCTTCTCCATGCTGGAGCCTGCTGGTGGTAGTGCTGGTGGGACGCTGCTGGACCTGTATCCGCAGGGATAACCTGCCAGGGCTTCGCGACCCCTTGCTCCTTCCACCATGGCTTGGCCATCACTGAGGAAACATCACTTCTCCCCTTGTCTCCGGGGGTGCCAAACTGCTCCCAGCTTGGGGGAATGGCATTTGTGGCCCCACTGGGGCTGTGTTTGCAGGACGGAGCTGGGTTATTCTGGCTCCCAACGTCTGATCGCTAGGTGCTGAGGCAGAGATGCCCCTGTGCTTGCTCTGCAAGCTGGACATCCTGCGGTGTGGCCTCTGGGGACACAGGGATCCCCAGCGGGTGCCCCCCCACACCTCTGCTTTTGGAGAAGGAAGAGGGACCTCGATGGGCAGGTGACACCAGGCATGACTGAGGCAGCACTGCCACCTCGTGGCATGTCACCTCGCTGCCTGTGCCACACCGGGTCCTTCGGCCACCACCCGCTCCCGGAGACACCCTGATGGGAAGGGGCAAGAGGTGAGTGCCAGGATGGAGGTATTTTTGTGCTGGCAAATGTGGTCTGCATAAGCCTCTGGGATGAAGCTGTGCAACGTTCATCCACGGCTCCCCGCAGCCAGCCATCCTCTGGAGCCGCAGATGTCCCAGCTGCAGATCAGGAGGAGGAGGAGGAGATGCTCAGAGGAAGGCTTGGCTTGAATGCAGCAACACTGAAAGTCAAGCGAGTGGGACTAAACACTGCTCAGGAGTCTGAAGGACCTGGAGGAGGTGCCGCCTGGACCAACACCAGCTTCCAGGAGATGCTGGAAACCCGTAACCAGCCCCCTGTAATTCAGCATTTAAATGGGGTTAAGGGGACAGTCAGGGACACAGGAGCACCAGGACACAGCCATCGATCAATCCTGGATGAAATGATGGAGTGGTCTCATTTTGGCTGTATATTAAGAAAGGGCAATAGGGCAGAAATACAATTACTGTCCAGAAACACCGTTTTGTGGAAGGTAGGTCTTTTCAAACTCACCTGTCATCTTTTCTTGACACAAGTACAGGTCTGGTTGATAGAGGAACTCTGCTGATAGAATAAAATTGCATTTCTGCTGGGCATCTGATTTATTATGGGGTGACATTTTGATTAAAAATGTGTATTATATTGCATTAAGAGGACATATATTCAGTGAATTAAAGACCAGCTCAGTGACAGATCTCCAAAGGTAATTATTAATGGAGATGCACTGATAAGTGAAGTTTTGTCTGGCAAGGATCTCTGGGGCCGATTTTTGGTTTCACACTAGCCGTTCCCTTTTTCAGCTATTTTGGAAACAATGCAACATCTTCCCTGGGAGCGAGTGGGGGGAACAGAGGGTTTGCCAGCCCCCCCTGGCCTTGGGACCACCCTGATCCCGGGCCTGCACACCATCCTCTTTCCTTGAACATCTTCCCCTGAGCTCTGGCTGCTGCTGCTTTTGGGGACCCCAACGCTGCTTTCTCATGAAGGTCAGTGCAGCTGCCACAGGACTCCTGAAAGGAGACTCCAGGTAGATATGGACCAGAAAGCCCCTCCTAGCCGCCCGCTGTGTTACCCCCCTGGGGTGGCCTGGCTGGTGGCCAGGGTCCCAAGGATGGTGATTGCGGCACATCTCATCCCTCTGCTCCCTGCTGCAGTGGCGCTTGCGGACTGGTGACATTTTTGGGCTCTTTTGCGGCAGAGCTGAATGCGCATCCCTGGACACCTTCCCTGGGCTCAGTGGTGTGAGGCATTGGCTTTTTCGTTTTGCACGGCTCCTGGGGTTGCCCAGATCTGGCTGGTGCAAGGCACAGCCACTCAAAGGGGACTGGGAGCAATCTAGGTGCCAGAGACCCCCATCTTCTCCCACTCTGCTACAGAGACAAGGTCCCCAAACCACTGAAGTGTGGGCAGTGGGAAGGAAATGTCTCATCAAGGATGCTTGAGGCTGTGCTGAGCCACACAGACACTATCGGTCCCTTTGCTGGAGCCCTGCTCCATCAGGGTGCAGCACCAAGGTGGGCGTCTGGAGGGGTCAGCCCCCAGCAGCAGCGATGACAAGGCTGGGTACTAGTGACAGCCACACTCTGCCCATCGCCCAGTCCAGAAGCCATCAAGAGCGATCCCTGGGGCCCACCGAGCATCCCTTGGATGGCCGTGCCACCTTAATGCTCACATCGCCTGTCCCCTCCTGCAGTGACAGAGCTGTGGCATGCCTCTGGGCACCCTCCAACTTTGTGTTGCTTTGTGCCCAGTCACCACCAGTCCCTGTGCTGCTGGGCCAGACTGGGAACCTTGCGGTCCTGCACTTTTGCTGACCAAGCTGTTCCCTGACTCTGACCAGCACAGCCAGCATCAAGCGCAGAAAGGGGAACAAGTTTCTCTCTCGTGCAGAGAAAGCGAAACTTGGCATTTCTCTTCCCCAACCAGGCAAATCACCGTGCATGCAAGGACATCCCCCCCGGCTCCTCTTCCTCCCTGCTCCCAAGGAACAGCTTCCAGCAGAGCTGCTCCTCAGACTGGTCTATCTTCACCCCCAACAAGGAGGTAAGTCACCCCAAATAGCTGGGGACACGTGCCTCCTCTGCCATTGCTCCCTGTCCCTCTCCTTTCTTCACTTCCCCGCTCCACAAGTGTTTAAAGTAGGAAAAGGGGGAGAAGATGATGGCGGGGGGGAGAGGGCTGCAGGAATCTGTCCTTGCTCCATGTGGTTGTGGACATCACTGGGCTCTGCAGGCTTGTCCCCAGGGCTGGGTACCCCAGGTTTTGGGGTAGGTCTGTGTGCTCAGGACCTCCCTCCTCTCTCCCAGCTCTGTGTGTTGAAGATCTGGATCCCCTTTGCCTGTTTATCCCTTTCCTGTTTATCCCTCCTCTGTTGTGCCTCTTTGCACCCCTTCCTCACTTGTGCTCTCCATCCCATGGGACCAGTGTCCCGTACATCAGTGCTTGCTCCCCCAACACTGGAAGAAGCATCCTCTGTATGCATCTGATGCGTGACCACCCATGCCCAGGACATGCACCAAAGGGTTTATGCCGTGTTCCACGTCCTGGGCTCTCCAATCCCACAGCCCTGCCATGGGTACACGTCAGAGATTTTCAATAACTTCAATGATTTCAGCTCATGAAATGAAACAGCCCCAAAATCCTTCCGTGAAGTTGTTTTCACCATTGCACCTGGTGTCCAGCTCTCTGTATTGGACAACACAAGGGTGGCATGGTAGAGCTGTGCGTGCATCTGATGAGAGCACTTGCGTGTCCGTGTCCAAGGTGCAGCTGTGTGTTTGCTGTGTGCTTGCCTCCATCCCCAACTCCCCCACCCCTGTGCTTGCAGGGAGGCAGGATGCAACCCGGGCTTTGGCTGGCGACCGGCACCTTGGCAGCAATGCTGGGCATGGCCCTGATGGAAGATGGCGTGTGTCGGGCACCGGACGGCAAGGACGGCTTCCCAGGAGTCCCTGGCCTTGATGGGAGGCCAGGGCAGAAGGGTGAAATGGGAGACCCAGGTAAGGGGGAGCCAGGGATGCGCGGTGTGGGTGGCCTGGGAGCCTGAAGCCTCTTGGTAGGGGCATCATGGGCTGTGGGAGCAGCTTGGGAGATGCCAGACAGGCATGAACTGCTCCTCCTCACCACCTCTCCCCAGGGAAATCAGTGCAGAGGACGGGCATCCAAGGACCCAAAGGGGATGTAGGTGAGCCGGGGCCTCCTGGCATGCCAGGGAACCAGGGCTACCATGGCCCGTTCGGCCCCCCTGGGCTTCCAGGCCAGCCAGGGCCGAAAGGGGACAAGGGAAAAGCTGGCAATATCCTGGAGCAGCCACATCCTGCCTTCTCCGCCTCACTGAAGTCCCCACGGTCCATGGGCAGGACGGTGGTGTTCGACAACATCATCACCAACCAGGAGAGCTCCTACAGTCCCCAGACGGGGGAGTTCACCTGCCGCGTCCCCGGGCTCTACTACTTCACCTTCCAGGTGGTCTCCAGTGGGGACCTCTGCCTGAGCATCACCAAGAACATGGAGAGCATGGTCAACTTCTGCGACTACAACAGCCGCAACCTGCTGCAGGTGAACTCGGGCAGCAGCGTGCTCAGCCTGGCCGTGGGCGATCGGG